TATAAATGAATGTAAATTGAATAAAAATGTAGAGTAAAATAAGAGAAATTATATGTTTTTATTTTGATTGACTAGGATGAAAAAAAATTCAATAAAATTATCCATTATTTATAAAAAATTATATTTTATTAAATTTTATCATAATAGCATTAGAAGGATTTATTTCTATTTATATAGCAATTAAGATTTACTGATCTAATTTTTTTTGAATTTGATTTATTTATCAGAGTTAGAGATCAAATATATAGTGAATTAATTGATAAAAGGGAATAACCAAGATTAATACTTAAAATTAAATAGTTGATATTTAATTAAGAATCTAATCAGGCACCTAAAATTCATTTTCATTTGGAGATAATTAAAATACAATTAATCATTAGGGTTAAAATATAAATTTAGTAGAGCTAATCAATATATATATTTTTTATAGAATTTTTTGTTAAATTAGAATATATAAAATTTTTTATTTTAGGAAACCTACTTATAGCAAATTATAATTATCTTTTAAAATTCAATGAAAAAGATTGTATAAAATTATTTAAATCAAATTATCTTTATTATAATAATTTTCAACTTTGGCTGCTCTTAATGCAATGATAATTCTTCAAAATGAAAATCATGCAGAAAAGGTTGAAATATCGTTTAATTTAAGATTACTTATATATTATAAAGTTAAAATTTGTAATGAATTGGGATATCTTTTTGATAAATTAAAAAAAAGTCTGTACATCTTGATTTTATTAAACCCTTCTTCATCAAAATATCATACAAGATTGTTTTTATAAACTAAATTGAGAATAAATTTACAGTATGTTTACTAAATAATTATACTAAATGTAAAAAATTAGCAAAAATATAAAATTTTATAATCCTTGTCATATTCAGATGGATGCTGATAGTGAAATTAAATAATCAATATTTTCAATTATTATCTATTAAAATGTAGAATGGCATCTAAAATTGCTGTCGATGAAACTACAAAATAATATTGTCTAACTTCTCTAAAAATATTAATTGTAACTGTCAGGATAATTATAGTGATATAAAGGAACCAAAAAAATTAGTACTTTTACAATTAACACATAGTCTCATTATGCTTGCGAAACTTGTGATGATTTTGGACCAAATTATTGCATTTAATATTAAGTAAGCTTAAAGAGATATTTTACATATTATGGGAGAATGATTGACTATATATTCTGATGATCAAACTATTGATTTTTCAAGTAATTATAAATAAGATGAGGTATATAGTATGCAATTATTCATTTTTATGATTTGCAAATAGTAATAAAAAAAATCATGTTTAGCATTTCCTTAAATTAATACACCTAGTGATTCATTAAACTAAAAATTTGAATTATTTTGTTCTATTTCAGACTCTTTTGAAAATTGATTTTCACTGTGATTTAACTTGTTAAATTTGATATGGTAATTTAACTTTAAGATGCTTTGATTTATCATTTTTTATATGAGAAGTTGGTAATTAAAATATGAAAGCATAAAATAATTTTTAAATATAATCCAATATCACTAATCATGTTACCAATATTCTGATAATACTAAAAAAGGTTATATTTTTATTTATCTTCAATTAATAAATGACAACATTTGCAAATATTTTGATTAATATGATGATAAATGTGAAATATTTTGTTTAAAAGTAATTAAGATAATTATCAATCTATTAAAATGTTTATAATAGTTTAAGACATGTGAAATAAATCAGAAAAATATTTTAGTTGTACATTAAATTCCCTATATATACTTGATTCCATTAAAGGGTGCTTTTGCTCAAGAGAATGTTATTATAAAAAATATGAAATAATTTGTCAAAGGATTTTTAAAATTATTGAAAAGCATCTCATTTAAATACAAAAATATTATGCTTCTAATAAAGAATCCTATCTCAGGTATAATCCTGTTGCAAATAGAAATTAATCATTAATATATATAAATGGTCTAAACAGTATTTTGAATTAAAAGTTTAGATTGCAAAAATAATTATTATTTATCATTTATGATAATAAGAATGTATCAACTTTCCTCTAGTGATTACACTATTGATTATTATGAAACAGAAATCAAAATCTGCTTATTTTTAGAACCATGTCAAAATTGTAATTCTAGAGAAGCTAATTCGTGTATACTTAAATACATTATGCATTTAACAATAAAATTTATTTTGCACATATATGATTGCGGTTAGTAATTTTTTTATAGAATGAAAAACTTCTTAAATAATAGATATCCTGTTAATAATTAGATGAAAAACTACAATTCTTTTTTATTTTTATATTTAATCAACGAGAAGCGAATAAACATTAACAATTATAGAATAAAAAATTTTATATATTTATTAATTATTCCAATTATTAAAAATAAATCATTTATTCTATATTATTAATGAAAGGATCCTTTAAAATTTTGATAGGATATCCTAAAAGCTAATTATCACTCAAAACATCCAATTAAATATCTGAGCAAAGTATGGTATTCATCATGACAAAAATAAATAAGATACTTTTTGATTTGTAGTATAAATCTCAAAGTTAGAGTAAGAAAATTTAATAATTTTAGTAATAAAAGAAAATGAATTACCCTGATGAATAGAACGATGATCTATAAGAGATTTTCGATTAAGTTTAGTATGTTCATGAACAATTATATTGTATGATAGTTTAACTGTTGAGAAAAGAATAAATTTCTGATTCTTTAGGATTCCTTTTAAATCCTAATGCTCAAAAACTATTAGAAGAATAGCTCAAAATGCATAAAGAGATTGAACTAGAAAAATAGAATTATCACATAATTACTAACAGTATGAAATTAATACAAAATCATAAATTTAATAAAAATAATTATTCAGAAGAAATTTATAATGAAATCAAAGAAGATCTAATTAAAAAAATATCACAAAATAAAAAGATCATTTAATTTTTTTAATTTTTAGTTCTACTCACCGCCATTGATAACAATTTTATATAATGTGGGTCAAATTCCTTAAATTTATTAGTTTAGATAAAGGTTGATCTTACAAACCAAAATTTTGAAAATATTAATATCCAGAATACTTCTTTGGTGGGAGCTAATTTTATGAGATGTAATTTGAGTTAATCATAATTTGACAATGTAGACATAAGTGGTATAAATTTGAATGGAGCATAACTTTTTAATTGTAAATGGAAAAACTTAAAAATAGAGGAATTAAATAATTTAAATGGTCATAGTAGCTCTGTTAGATCAGTTTGTTTCATGCCTGATGGATCTACATTAGCATCTAGTAGTTATTAAGAAATTCGTTTATGGGAAGTTAAGACAGGTCAATAAAAGGCCCAGTTGAATGGTCATACTGGTTCTGTCTCCTCAGTATGCTTCTCTCCTGATGGTACAACATTAGCATCTGGTAGTTGGGATAATTCTATCCGTTTGTGGGATGTTCAGACACAATTATAAAAGGCTAAGTTTGATGGTCATAGTCATTATGTCATGTCAGTATGCTTCTCTCCTGATGGTACTACTTTAGCATCTGGTAGTTGTGATAAGTCTATAATTTTTTGGGATGTTAAGATAGGAGAATAAAAAGCCAAGTTGGAAGGTCATAATCATTTTGTCAATTCAGTATGCTTCTCTCCTGATGGTACTAGATTAGCGTCTGGCAGTGAAGATAAGTCTATCCGTTTATGGGATGTTAAAACAGGATAAGAATAACTGAAAATAAATTGTCATGAATATGCTTCCATGTCAATATGTTTCTCCCCTGATGGAACTACATTAGCATCTGGTAGTTATTAAGAAATTTGTTTATTGGATGTTCAGACTGGATAATAAAAAGCCAAGTTGAATAGTTACAGTGGTGAATGGGTGTCGTCGGTGTGCTTCTCTCCAAGTGGGACTACATTAGCATCTGGTAGTTATTAAGAAATTCGTTTATGGGAAGTTAAGACAGGTCAATAAAAGGCCCAGTTAAATGGTCATACTGGTTCTGTCTCCTCAGTATGCTTCTCCTCTGACGGTACTATATTAGCATCTGGCAGCGAAGATAAGTCTATCCGTTTATGGGACATTAAGACAGGATAAGAATAAGCCAAAATGGATGGACTTAATCATGATTTCAGATAAGTGTGCTTTTCTTCTGATGGAACTACTTTGGCATCTTGTAGTGATGAGAATTTTATCCGCTTATGGGATGTTGAGACAGGAAAAGAAATTCAGCCTTCTGATAAAAGTTACAAAGATATTTTAATTTAATTTAAAACTCCATTATTTTCAGATAATTGTCTTCCTGGTATTTATTTTGTAATTATATTTAGCAACCGCCAATATAACAATTCTACTTATATCCCAATAGGCAATATTTTAAGCATAGGGAGCTTTAATTCTAAAAGGAGAATTTATTAGTCAATCAGGTATTGATTTAAAGACATAATTTAAAGAAAGAGGAAGTTGCTTTTTGGAAACCTTTTGGTAAAAGTGAATTAGATTATTACCAATAACATTTTCATTACAACTTATTTTATATTTTCGTTTAAATGATATTCTGAACATTTCTATTCTATATCTTCATTTTATTAAGTTTTTTATAGAATATGGTTAATTTTAACAGTTTTTATCGCCTTCATTTTAATATACACTTCCTTTCCTCTAATATTGTAAAAATCAATTATCAGCCAAGTATGGGATTATAACCTTTATATTGAGATGTAAATATAATTAATTATTAATTAAATAAATAATTTAATGCTGTATAAACTTATGGATTGATAATAACCAGCAAATAAAGAGGGCAATAAAAAAGAGGGAAGAAATATTTATTAAAATTACAAGAAAAGTAGAACAGCGCAAACTCTTTAAATTATTTAAGAGCATAAAAGAGATTGAGGGGAAAATTGTAATTTAAATTTAGTTACAATTTTTGGTTTTTTACAATATAAATTGTAGAGATAGCAACAATTATTTTATAACAAAAAATATAGAAATAGATATATAAAGAAGAAAAAACGAAATGATCCTCGATTAGATTTAATAATTAATAGAGCCAAGGCATTTTATAATAATAAATGATTTTATTTTGATTTAAATTTTTTTAAATGAATCAATAATTAAAATAACAAGTTGCAAAGAACTTATGAAAGAGTTTTCTCTTGAAGTTATGGATTGTTTAGATTATTGACTGAATATCATTAAAGTATTCAATTACATGTTAAGGATAATCTGGTTATGTATTTTTCTATTCTAGAGAATTTTTATTTTTATAAAATAAGAGAAAGAGATTGCAAAAAACATTTTCTTGATTTTACAAGATATTTAGCATTTATGAGGTCAAAAAAGAAAATAATAAGCAGAATATGGATTTTTTAGTAGTACAATAAGACATATTCTTTATTTTTTATCAGTTTTAATATGGCTATATTTCAAATTAACAAATAAATTACAACTCCAATCTAATCAAATAATATTTTTATTTATATTTGGTTTTAATTGTTTAGATCAAGCTTAAGTAAGAGTTGGTAGGGGTATTTGAATCTATTGAATTAAGAAAAGTGAGACTATCCTCTGGATAATATTATAGCTCTGATTGTTTTTTAAAGTTTAATTTGACCTATCAAAATTACTTAATTTCTTTCATATTCTTAAAATAAAGTGAGTAATTTATAATATCCTAATTTATTTAATTATATTCCTTATAGAATCCAAATTTTCTAAATATCTTTTACTATTACTGATTCATAAAGATAAATCGTCTAAATTATAAATCTCTCAAGTATTATATCTAAAGAACTTACAGACCCTCAGTTTCAATTAAAATACAGGTATTTAAAAGCTTTAAGCATTAATAATCAGCATATATCATCACAAGTCTATTTCTAAATTTTAAGTTGCTATAAAATTTTAATTTCTATCAAAAATATGAATTCTGGTCGATACCAAATGATTTACAATAATAATAAACTTAAAATTAGAATTAGATTAAAAAATAAACAAGAGTATCTATATTTTGGCTTACTATTGATGGAAAAAAAGATAAGATTAATATTTTGGATCTTATTCATCTTAACCAAATAAGCAATTTGTCGAATCAGAAATAATAGAAACTCCAAATATCAGGCGTAGATTTGCAATTTAACAAATAATAAAGATGCATTTTTAGTCTACAATTTTTATACCTTTTGTTTCCTATTCATAATAAATTAAAATGCCTTACTAAAAATCATCAACAAGAAATAGCAATTTATATGATGGATTCAAACAGATTGTTTCCATAAATTTAATAATAGAGAATTATTTTCGGAGACTAAATAATAATTTATTCATTTTTGCTGAAAATCATGGGAATAATATAAGTATTAAATTTTCCATAAATAATATATTGATAAGAATATAATCTGAAAATGATAATTATTATTAATTAATTATGAGATTCAAAAAGATGATAAATTTCTTATAGCAGGGAGTATGGATTATTCTATTTCAATATTTATGTTATTTAAGGAGGATTTAATAATTATGATAATAGAATTTTAATTAGATGATTAGAAGGTATTTTATCCTGTTTCTAAAGATTTTAAAATTGGAAAATGGATGAAAAATATAATAGATACTATTTATATAAATATCAATATAAAATCACTTCTTAAAATAACCTTGATAATTAGTTCATATTAGATCAATTTTCAAAAATTTCTTTTAAATTAATACATCTTAAATAAATATGATTTATTGACATAAAATGATCTAAACATATGCTAAAAATAAAAATTAGAAAGAATGTTTTAATTTTTAATACCTGAGACTAATAAAAATCTCTTTATAAAAAATTAAGGAATCTTGAAATATAATGATATTTCCATATATAATAAATTATTTAAAATTTTCATTCATTGAATTTTATTTTAAATTTTTAACAAGCAAATTTTCCTATTGGCAATCCATTTAGATACTCTCCCTATTTGATTTTTTGATCATCACTTGAATAGATAAGTATTCTTACTCATTATAATTCTCATCTAGATCAATCCATAAACCATTTTTCTTTCCATATAAATAAATTCCGCCACCACTAAGAGATATTTACAACTTATACATAATTTAATTTTTAAAAGTAGTATTCCATTTTCCTTACTTTTTTCCTTTCTAATACATTCCCTCATATTTAATTTAACAATATCTATTCTATTAAAAATAATCTACTTGTAATAATTTTCGTGCAAATCAATCCATTATCCATTTTTCTGACCATTATCATTATAAAACCCTCCACCTCTAAAACAAATATTTTGTTATTTTGATTCTTACATTATCTTTTATTTGTAATACGTTTACCAGATTAGAATTTTTCTACCATTTTAATATCTACCTGCATATTTAATAAGAGAATAGCTAGTTGTTATTGAAATTGTAATACTTAGAAAAATTTTCATACAAATCAATCCAATTTCCATCTTTATTATGATCTTCATTATAATAGCCTCCTGCTCTTTATAAATCAATAAACTTACATCACTTAGTCTCTATAAAATATATTCCATTATTTAGATTTCTATCCATTTTCGTATATTCCAATTTCAGTAACCAAGCAATCACTGAATTATATTTTGAAAAACAAATACTTAGAAAAATTATCAAATAAATTAATCCACATTCCTATCTTAATTCCATTATTATTATAAAATCCACATCCTCTGACTAATTTAATAAACTTTTACATTTAATTTTCTTTCTCTAATATATTCCAACACTGTTATTTTATACCATCTTAATATTCTCCTTAATATCTAATAAAACAATAACTAATTTAAACTCATAATTAATAACCTAGAGAAGTTAAATTATAAATCAATCCACTTTTTAATTTTCTCACCTTTCTCATTATAATAACCTCCACCACTAAAATAATCATTACTAAAACATAATTTTATTTTAATAATTTGTCTGCCATTGGAATACTTTGACTCCATTTTAATAAGATCCAATTTAAAAAATTTAACAACCACTATTATAATTGTTATTTGATTACTCAGAATAATTTTCATCTAAATCTATCCAAATGCCTTGCTTCATACCTTATTCATTATAATATCCTCCATCTCTGAAAATTGAAATATATCAGTAAAATTACATTATCTGTTCTTCTAGATTGATACTCCACTTTCCTATCTTAATACCATTTGAATATTCTCCACTGTAAGAAATTTTACATTATCTCACAATAACCATTTTTAATACTCACAATAATTCTCATGTTAATCCAACCAAAATCCATGCTGCTTTCCATTTATATTATAATTCCCACCCCTTTAACATATTACTAATTATATTTATTTACATTTTTTTTAAAGTATCTTCTCTAAAATGCTTTTATTTGATATCCCAATTCCCTTATTTTTAACCTTTAACATATTATCCAGTATAAATGACCTAAAATCTCTAAAATATAAAATTAAAACATAACTTAGAAAAACTTTAATTCAATTCAACCCAATCGCCATTCTTAAATCCATTTTCATCATAAATTCCTCCACCACTAGTCTAAACTTAATATTTTACACTATTTCATTATTAATTATACTATTCCATTGATAACATCTAACCCCATTTTTGTACTCCCCATTCCATATTATTAAACAACTTAATTATAAACTTAAATTACTCTAAACTTTGCTCTAAATCAACCCATCTTCCATCTTTTTAATTTTTCTAATAGAATCCTCCTCCTCTGATATTTTAATATATATAAATTAGTACATTATTTTATCTTTTTCGTTTATATCCCATAAACCCTCCTTCTCTCCATTTATATATTATCCTATTGTAACAATTGAAGAAAAACTTTAGTTTTATAATTCATTTTACTTCAACTAATCTTCAATTAATTCTACAGATTTTCCAACTTTAATTCCATTTAAATTATAACTCTAAAACCCACTAAAATATAATTGATTAATTAACATATAAGAAAATTCTTCAATCATTTTCTCTCTAAACATAATTTCCCAATAACCTATTTTTATTCCATTCTTATATCTTCCCTCAAAAATCACCTAATTATTACTTTAAAGCTTAATCAATATCAAATACTAATGAAAATATTGATGTAGATCAATCCATTCCCCATCTTTTAAACCTTAATCTGTGTAATTACCTCCTCCTCTAATATGTAGATCAATGATAACAATTACATTTTTTATTCTTTATATTTGATATTCCACCATCCTTATTTTAATCCATTTTTATAAAATCCAACTTAAGTGACCTAAGATAACCTAAATTCAAAGATTAAATTTTTACTCCCAAAAATGATTAAAAGCTTCAACCCAAAATCCTGTTTTTGTTCCATTTTTATCATAATTTCCTCCTCTACCGAATGATTCTCCTTTCCAAAGAGCATTCCATCTACCAACTTTCATGTTATTATTTTAAGTTTGTCCAAGCCAAGTTAAATGTTTAATTTAGTTTAAGTTTCTATTAAAAGACTAC